GGGGGAAAGTCCGGGACCAAAACATGACAAGCGGCTGCAGAGTGCTCACAATTATGAACCCTTTCGAAGTGTCTTTATGAGGTTTTGGATTGAAGAGGCAATCTCGGGTACACTATCCACAAAATGAGTCCTGGGCCCTGTACCAAAATGGCAATAAAGGTGTAACATGAGGCCTGATGTGGGCAGGTGGAGGCGATGTCTCAAATGGGTGAGGGAAATTTTGTGAAAGCACGGAATGGGCAAAAATTTCGATGGCTTGGTTTGTTTTTCGCTCGTACCCGTAACATGTCATTGCCCTATCCACGGGTGGTGGCGACATTTATATTTCTGTTGAGGTCTCACCGGTTGGATTATATACACAGCATGACACTTGCGCACGGAATACACGTAGGCATATTACAAGAGTACAAAAGTACCCAAAATGCTTTGCGGCGTCTGAGTTTCCTTCCCAAAACGTGGTGAAAAGGATAAGCGGTCACCATCTCCGTCGGTACGAAAGGTCTCTTGACAGTGGATCGATCTCCACCTGTCTGTACTGGATTGAGGATAGAAAGCATCCTAGGTTTAAGTGCGAACATTGGGTAATGTAAAGTAGGGGCATCTGCCATACCAGTGATTTTACTTGCTGGAACAAGTTCATCGTATTGAATTTCCTAGTGTAAAAATTACACAGGATTGTAAGTCCTGAATCATTGTCGATCAAAACTAGTCATAATACGCTCATTAAAATATACTCGGGTATACTGCAGGGTGCTTTCAACAACATTCATGTTCCTTGACGTCATGTTCTTTCTTTATATAGGTGGATGATAGCGAACGATTGTTTCCCCGTTGCTATTAAGGACTTTCTCAACGCTGCTGTGACGTCATTGCCCATCTCCAAGACTAAACACTTCCCGCGTAAATTGAATTCTATTTATAGCTACAACAATTGGGTTGTTTCTAATTGAAGTTTACACCAGAAGGCAACTTCCCAAAATTTTACTCAAAATAGACGAAAATGAAATTAATTATTAAGAATATCAATGAACATTTCTTTTTTACATGTTTAAATTTTTTTTTTTTAAGTTTAGGCCCTCCTCAGGAGAACGTAAAGCTAGTAGATAGCCACAGCTAAAGTTAATAAATTATGAGTAGGGGGCATGTCAAGGAACAATATGACCAACGGATTTAAAACAAATTGGCTAGATGGGGGTAGGTAGTAGGTAGTCCTTGCATTTTAAATTTTGCATTCGTTTTTATATCTTGACATGATCCATATTTGAATGAGCATGACTCGGCACTTTTGCACGATGATGACCGGTAGATATGTCCATCTCGCAAAGAGTCGTAAACAACTCCTTATGCGGAGATTGGCACGCGCGTCGCGCGTACTGCGTGAGTGGCGTAGAACGCAGCTGTTGCGGTTTATTGTGAATTTAGGAATAAGAGCGTTTTCGAAACGACCGGCTTTAGCTTCGTCTTCGGCTTAAGAAGATTTTAGGCCCCCAACTTCTGGAACTCCAGCTACATTTTCGTGCCTGTTATGCTTCAGGAACATTCAATCCGTTGATATGAAGCCAAAAGTTGGAATATTTTAGTTTACTGTACCTCTCAGTGATTCAGAAGTCGGCGGCAAAGCCAAAGCCGAAGCAATCCCCGATGACATACTGATTCACTGGTAGTGTTGCGCATGCCTACTTGAGGATTGTGAACGTTCAAGTAAAACGGTAAAAGGCACCGGATTTCATAGGAGCCCAAATTTCATGGGACACTGGAAAAGTATTTCAGACCAGCCAGCCGGTCTTTATCAACCGTTTAAAACCGGCCACATGACGGTCTCTCGACCAAATACAAATGGGTGAACTGTCTTAGGTATTAACTTTGCATGGCGGTGGTGTAAACTAGTGAGGGTTTGTATACTGGTCGGAACGTCGAGTTTCACAACCAACCGGTTATTTTCAGACGCACACATCTTCTCAAAAGAGATTCTTCCACATGTTGTTACCGCAAATTCTCTCTAGTTTAAAGTTTCTCTGTAATCACTCACTAGATATAACATAACCGGGATCGATTTAACACAAAATACACAGGTTAACCGGCAATATTCTAAGTGCTACCTTATCGTTTAGAAATGATACCACTCAAACTGAATTTACACCTAGCCCATCTTGCCGTCAAGTGAAGTTAAAAGTCATAAATAATATGAATAATAAGAGTACTAATGGCTAATGTGTATATCCTTGATTTAGACGTGTGTGTGTCTTAGTCAACTGTGGTCATGAGAAACGGCTTTGAATTAAAGTTTATTTTAACAGGTTTGTGTTTGTTTGAGTTCTCAGCCTTTTTAATCTTGTACTCACCTGAACACGTCTTATTTTCCGCGTGTCCGCATTTAAAATAACAATTGTTGGGCGTTAAAGAAAATTATCGTGACCTTAATATCAATATGTTTCTAACTTCACGTATTTCATATCTTTTGTCTTTTTTATGATAATGCTTTTCCTGCTTGTAATATACATTTTTTTTGGTCTGTAAGGAGATTACTACGAAATGCAAGGCACCGTGAATTGCTGAGCGTTGCCATGGAGGTCGCCATGACAGTCTCTGCCCACGTCACGCGCGGGAGTCATAACAATAAAAAAAAAAAAGTCAGGCCGTAACAACGGGATGCGGTTGAACAAATCCGGCCGTGGTTGCTTGGCAACGAGATGGTTGATTCAGGGGCATTGTATATACGCTTTTGTAGAAGGAGGAACATAGTAATTGTGATGGATGATGTATGCTGGTGCGATGAGTCCAGCAATGGCGGCCTGATCTATCTCCCCGGGGGTGCCCGGGATAAGTTTAAACGAACACGTGCCCATGCCCTTTTGATTGTGAAATAAAAAGACTGTATGTAGAAGTGTCCACCAGCGCTTAGATTTTAAGCGGCTGGACTGACTATTTAAAGCCATGTGTAACTCTCCGTGGTTTCAATATTTAACGTAAAATCTTCAGGTCGTACAAGGCATCACATCAGACATACACAAAAATTTATATTGTACAAGATCTGGATTGTGATCTACCCTTAATGTGTATCGGTCCATAAAAAAAGATAGTATTCGTATAATGCAGTCATGATGTAAGAATAATTAAGCCTAATCATTCCGTGAAGAAAAATGACTTCCGGTGCAGGAATAATTTGGTGGTCGCTTCAAACTGTACCAAAAGGTTTGTTTTATAACAACCAGTTACAAAGCAAGACATAAGCCTATATGCGCTGGTTCTACACTCGTTCAAAGTAAATAACAGTACGAGACAAAACGATCCCAAACGAGATAATTCAGAAACGTGCAACAGAAAGAGACAAGTGCCATGTGTAACTCTCCGTGGTTGCCAAGATAACCAAGTAGAAATTGCCTTTTTTTTTCGTGACATAAAGGCCAAAATGTTTTAAACAGTTCTTTCAAAGAATCAGCAAGTGTTCAGTTCGGCGGATTTGCGGACGGTAATCCTAACTGCAAAATGCAGGTAACTGACCCTCCGCTCGGTTACTTTACTGATCATCCAGAGTGACAGAGGGCCAACCGAAAACAAGAGTCACTTCGTTGGGATAAATAACAAAACACATTCGCGACAGGGATAATTATTCCGCACCTCGACGTGTCGTTGTCCGCTAGCGCACGTCGTATATACTAATGCCGTTTCTGACAGTCAGGACTCAGTACCCTTGAACGTCAAAGAGGATATTGAAATTCCATGGGCCGCGGCATAAAAACTTAGCGTGAAGGAGCTAAGCTAGATAGACCTCGTCGCAGAGTTATACGCCGCGGCTGCGGTGTTCCTGTCGATTGGGGTTTGGATTTCGACGAGACGTAATCGACGCCCCATGCTATAGTGGCGTGTTTGATGGATTACTGAGTTTGAGATTCACCCTGGCCACAGTCAGATTTCCCCCGGGCACAGGCGCCATCGAAATACTCGTCAGTGTATTCGACCTTTTTTTCTTCTTCTACTCGCCTCCGTGTGTGTTATTTGACAACAGGCTCTGACGTGAGGTAAAAATGCCAAAATGTGCATGCATACCGTGATGAAGATCAGATATTTACCTAACGCACGCATGCAGCGCCGTACCGGTACAAACTCAGGTTTGCATAATCAACGACGAACCGCGAGATTAAAGGTACAGCAGTGCCAACGTGGTGCCGTTTTTTTCTTTGGACATTAAATACAATTTTAAATATCAAAGACAGAGGCGTTACTTGGGGGTAAGGGGCACGGGCCCCCGCTCGCGGCATCTAACCCCCCCCCCCCCCTTCCCGTGACTCTCCCCCGCTCAGATTTTTGGGCAGGAACAATGAGCTCTTTAGTATTAAAACTTCATTGCGTGCCCCTCCCGAAAATGAGACCCCCTAAGCTCCCCCGACAGCAAGCTGAACCCTATGTACGCTACGGATTACAGACACAATCATTGCACATGTTTGCCAGACGTCATGAATGAATAATTATCCGTTTGCTTCACAACATTCTCATTCGTATAAAATCACGAAGCGGACGTGATATAGGCTTCATTAACACACACTTTTGTATTATTCAATTACCATGTGTTCGTGGGTCAATACGTCAAAACCAATGCACTTCTTCATATTTTCACTGTGAAATAAAGTTGTTGAAAAGTTGCGTAACGCTATTCTTTACCCGACAACATTATTTGTCACAAATTATCCCAGTACTTGGCTAATCCAAAAAAGAAAAAAAATGGAATAGCCGATTTGTGTGAATTTCTCCAAGAGAATACGAAATTGATATTTGACCCAAATTTGGTAAGAACTTGAGCTTAAATTACCCATTTTCCACATTCTTCTAAATTCACCACACAGATTCAAGGGGTCTGATATTGGACCTTATCTAGAGCAAAAGTCCATTAATATAAATAACATCAATGTTTTGATGCACAAGTTTCTTACTGATGTCACCGCAAACCGATCTTCCACACAAAGGGTGAGAGTATTAATAAGTGAATATAAAATCTTTCCCTTTGTGTCCTTCTTGCAGGATTTGGTATGACCTCTCCATCCACGACATTGGGCAAGGTATCCCTGATCATCTACGGACTACCCGGTTGCGCTGCCTGCATTCTGTTCTATAACTTGTTCCTGGAGCGCCTGATCACCTTCCTCGCCTTCATCATGAAAAAGTGTCACGAACGACAGGTCCGACGGGAGAAGAACGCGAATGGACTGCCGAACCTCGCTAGGAGGCCCTCCCAACAGTCGGATGACAATTTGGACAACTGGAAGCCCTCCGTCTACTATGTGCTGTTGTACCTGTGCGTTGCCTCCACTATTATCGCCTGCGTGGCCTCTGCTATGTACTCCCCCATCGAGGGCTGGGACTATGGGGACAGCATATACTTCTGTTTTGTGGCTTTCAGTACGATCGGCTTTGGCGACCTCGTCACGAGCCAGAAAAACATGTACAACCAGCAGTTCCTGTACCGGTTCGGGAATTTCGTATTCCTGACAGCCGGTGTGTGTTGTATATACTCACTGTATAACGTGGTATCCATCGTTATCAAACAGCTCCTGAACTGGATCCTCAAGAAACTGGAGTGCCGCTGCTGCCACCGGAGGAAACCTAGACCGCGGCGCAACGCCATCACGCCTGGCCACTTGCAACGACAGGTGAACTCGGCCAACAAACAGCAGCAGCAGCAGCAACAGCAGCAAAACAACCAAGCCAATGGCGTGGACATCACCGACGTGGACAGCAACTACGACAGCGAGACGGACGGACGACGAATGTCCGGGGAGATGATTAGCATGAAGGACTTCTTGGCAGCCAACAAGGTCTCGCTGGCTGTCATGCAGAAGCAGCTTTACGAGACCTCGCAGCACAGGAAACACCATCCGAACAGCAACGGTGCTTTCGGCCAGGGCGTTGGAGGTCTAGCCATGCTAAATAATAAATTACAAGAAACGGAACGGAGAGACTGACACACGGGCAACCATAGGTTCCTTTAGCTGCTGCTTCTTTTGCGGACATCGCCTCATATTACAAGACGAGATTATTTCCGTACGGTACTCAAAGGCAGAACGATTTCTGGCACAACATTTTGATCAAAAGGCGTGTGTGCACATCAAACATATTTTCATATCGCCAGTCTTGACATCAAACCGGCTTCTATATATGTAACGGAACAAAAGGACGAACTGGAGCAATACCGTACAAAAGTTAGACCGTTGAGAGCCGAAACTCGAGAATCAAATTTCCGACACGACTGTGGACGCACTTTCCCTTCTGGATCGCCGCACCGGAACATATCCGACATGAGAGAATTAGGAATCCTTCAGCAACGCCTTACCACTGAGGAGAGAAGGAAAGAAGGTTTTCCGACCGCAAAAACAAATGACACGACGAAAACAGACGTCCGGTTGGCATACTATCCATATGGATATAGCACAAACCTAAAGAAAATGTCGCCTTCTGTACAAGTATCGCCTTTAAAGTCAGGTTACGATTAGATGTCGACAGCTGTGGTTTCTCTTGTACCAAAGTTAGAACGGTTTCGGCAAACATTACGAATGAAAGTTTCCCGTGGTGACGATGAATTTAACTACTAACGTGAACAAAAGCTTACGGGAAAAGAGTCACTTAGGACCTACGGGGGAAAAGTCACGAATAGATGACTTCGGTGAAGTGAGAATGCAAATTCATACCTCATCACAATTTACATTCCTGTTTTTCCCCTCCAGGATACTTAGTTATGTCGAATAAGGACTTGTGCATATTGAGGTCATATAATGATAGTTTTTAATTTTTTGTTTTTATTTGGAGAATATCAACCTTGGTTTTGCTCGACGTTTGTCTTATTCCTGACAAGTCACGACACAGTTATTTCGCTTTTACGCTTACGAAGAATCTACGTTAGTCCACGACCTGCTCTTTCGTTGCCGATCGATTTTTGTCAACGCACAACCTGTAAAGATTGAACCAATTTGGGAGAAATGTTGTAGGCCTATTCAGCATCTTGACGAAAACACTACACACTGCGATTTATTTTCAAGTTGGTGTTGCTATCAACGGATTATACCACAATCTACCGATTACTGGAGGTGATATTCATGACAAGCGATAGGAAACAGGACCCGACGATAACGTACGTATATGCTTCGCATCTGAACTATGGTTTACCTATATGCCCTAACTTAAGCGTGTTCATTTAACGTTTGTGGATATGCCAAAGATAGACCGGCCATGATTGACGCTATGACAAGCCGCCATGTGGAAAGCGCCACCAACGCTCGTATACTATCCAAACGAGGAGTTTGATGCTCCTAATCAGCTCCTCGTCAACATTGCACAGGATATAGTGATGCATTGACTCGTAATAGGGATGGAATTGTCGCGAGTACTGTACGGTTTCGAAATCCATCCTAAAGTTATACCACTTCCGATTCAGATCAGATGACTTGCACTCGCACCTACTGCCCTGTCCAAGGAGATGGTGACCTCCAGTTTCTCTGAGCTCACTTTGGACGGATTTCGTACCTGGTCATCCGGTGCCATCACTTTGGGGCGCGCATGAAACATTCATACGAAATTCATGTATACATTTACATGTGCAAGACAATTTGACCTACCCACATTGCATTGCGACATCTACATTTCCTCCAGGGGATCTTATGAAGGGATAAGCGGTCACCAGCGCCCTTTGGTATTCAAAGGGGTAGGCAAGAGCGAACTTGGTGACGTTGTACGCTCATTACTGATTCCCCGAATGCTTTGCATGACATTTCCAACAGACCTAAGTTGACCGGCCAGCGCTTCGCTAGGCGAAGCCTGCCCTTCCCCGTCATAACGAACGACACTGTTTATTGTATTTCATGCAAGATTGCTAGCTTTTTTGTAGCTGTAATCAAAAGATTCAAAAAAAGTTTTGTAATAAGTGGCCTTAACATTTTTCAAGTTATACCTGTATATATCACTATGTACTATTCGAATCAACATGTAAATGCCTTTTGTCATTCGTAGCTTGCACTCACCAGTAAACTTCAAACGATACGTCTGTAGAACTTTACTTTAGTTGCCAGTTAAAACAATAATTCTCTCTAATACAGTACTAAAGATTTGCTGGTAGTTATTATGAGCCAAATTCGTCAAATCAGTGGAGGAAAGGGCTGATTTGTCTTCTGGGTTCATCAAGTACAAGAGATATTGTTCTCTGGAGAAGTAGCAACAGCTTGGATCGGTAGCGATATAAAATCATTATGTCTTTCGGGTAGACGATAAAAGGGGGTAGCAGGGGAAAAGTGTAGTCTCATGGATTACGAGTGACTCGGCTTGTCACAAGTCAAATCACAAATCAATCACAAGACAAACACGAGTCAGTTAAAAGGTAACTGGAGCTCGGAGAGGTGAACAGCAAAAAAGAATGTTTCGTTTGGTCACTGTTCATTTCAAGAGCTTGTCGTTTGATTGAAGAGTGGATGACCTGTGATCGAATCGTGGTGACTCGTGAGAGAATGACTACAATGCTCTTCAACCTTCTTGTTGATTTAAAATTGTACACATTTGTGTAATTCAACGCAAGGGGACAGAAATCGCTTCACATTCTCCGCTTCTCGATCCGCGCCAGTGGACTCCCAACAAATTAAAGAAACATGATTCAGATTTGTATATAACCTCAGAGAAAAATATTCTTATTATTGTTATCATTCCGTGAATGTTACAGTATACCCATGAGTATATGAAGCGAATATAGTGATTTGTAGTTTCCTTTTTTTTTTTCCTTTGTTATATTTTTGGTATTTTGAAATAATTGTCATTTTGTCTTTACAATACGATGATATTCAAAATTGACTGTTGCAGTGACCACTTCTAACTGGTTTGAAGATCAAAAGGTCACTGGACAATCAGATTTAATTTCCCCACAAGGCTCGTTAATTTCAATGAAATTTCAGTGAAATGAGAGGAATCGATTTTTGTTTTCAAAGTTTAGCCAAAACTGGTAACAGTGGTGTAAATATGGTCCAATTGGGGTGATTGGTCCCCTAATTTTCTGGAAGCACAGTATGGGTTTGGTCAAAGTTTCAATAAATGAGATATTTGTCCTTCTACAAATGTATTGTTTGATGCCCCTTGGTCCCACCTCTCGGTTACGCCGCTTTTATTCTTCCGAAGCAACGAAATATAGGCAGCTTTAATTACGAAATATACATAAATGAATTCATTCAAATCTGAATATCATCTCAATATTTCGAACAACGTGGACAGAGCCGCTTTGAACATTTATATTCGTGGTTTTATAAACTCATGGGTATATTTTATTATACATGTACAGTGTGTAGCCTAAATTACATTCAACGATTATTGTGTGTGAAATGTATTACGCGGAAGTGTACAGTACCTATAGTGTTTCAGTTAAAATTCAACCAAATTGCTTTCAATTAAACAAGAAGTGAAAAGAAAAGAAAAAAAAAAGGTAATGTTCAGTGCGTTTACGTGGCAAAGCTTCTCAACATATAGTCAGCCATCTTGCATTTTTTTCGCGTTACATCATTATTTTCAACTGTAAAAAAAAAGGCACATAAAACAACTCAAAATTGGAATTCGTCAGTACCCGAATATTAAAAAAAGGTATTTGTTCAATATAGTTTTTTTTAATATTGCACTTCAAAATATGGCTAGGTTTGCATAATGCATTGTCTCGCTTCGGTTATCGGAGCAAGTTTGACAGTTTCCCTGTAATGGTAAAGTAGATGGTGAATTGCGAATATTTCATCCTGCGTGATGAAGTTAAAATTGGCTTGGTATGATTTGGTATGATTATGAGGTGTTTTCCCCATTAGTATCAATGATCTTTGTCTCTCTGTGTACCAGAGACACCTTTATATGCGGGCACTCGCATTCTTGAAGTGTAAAATATGGACTTGTTGGCTTGACACAATCAAAATTGTTTTCGAAATTAATATTATGTTCGTGAGTAGTGTCTCCTTACACGAAATCGACACCTGATGTTTACAGATGCACGCCATCAACAACACATCTATGCCTGTCTACAAAAGAAAAACAAACCTTGCAAATGATAGACTCGGCCTTGTAATTTGATACAAACGCAGAATTCAGAACGGAACTGTATAGTATTCCCCTCTTTGGTTTTTGTGCACAACACCTCCGCTAGGTTTCCCATTCCAAATTGCCATGGCAACAAAGTGGAAGGTGATATTGGGTTGTTCACGCGCCTGTGCATGCTACTTGAAAAAAAAATTAACGGCAAGTAGTTGCGTAGGCATGCATGCTTTCCCTCAAAATTATGAATAACCATTTTGCTTTGAGAGACAAAAAGAAAAGATCGAGACAAAGCCACAGATGGGATTGTCCGGCATACATCTGGCACTGAATATGACCCCAAAGGGTGCAGAGTTTAACAAGAATGCATGAATATGCTCGTAGCAAGCAGGCATAACTGAGCATTAGTGACAGTGTTAATTCATATGCCTTATGAGGTACCGGAAATAGAAAGCAACGATAGGGACAATGGGATCTCACAAGGCTATAGTGAAACGCTTTATGAGATTTGAGATTTCAACAGAGACAAAGAACAAAAATAAGGAAGTATCAAGGTATACAATGGTGGTACTCCATCATTACTACCCATAATGTGTGTTTTAGCCTTAATTTGTGTTTTTGGCAAAATGTACCTACGTATAGTACCTAAGCAAACTCGTCCACTGCAAGATATTTCAGAGACATTTCTGTCTCTTAAATCGAAATATCAGCCGTTATATTAGTTGTTTTTTTTCTGCGAGGCGAACCGCAGAAGACTTTGAAGAAAGCCTATTATTATAATTACTAAAGTCCTGTTTCCGGGTTGCAATAAGAAGCTCACATGCACATCGTCTGAAGTGATTTTGGTTTATATACGCATCATCAAAAGGTACACATAATGAACTAACGGACAGACACACCGACGACAGTGACGAACAAACAGACGGACAAATGAACCCAGGCGAACGCCCCAAATAACATTAAACTTGAGAGCGTACATCGGACTGTTTGCCAAGGCAAGGAAGCTGTGTTTGCCCGCGCCGCGACATCATTTGGCCAGCTGGGTCTTAAATGCTACTCGCCGCGCTTCTGCCAAACTTCTTTGCGGAATTACTATCACTTGAACAAAACAGAGTGTTGATTCACCTGAACCTGCCGTCCTATCATTCCAGAGAGTTCTCAGACCCGCCCGTCTAATAAAAATTCCAGAGTTCATATTTATGAGAGGATTTCCGTCAAACGCATCATCTTGCTATTAGCGGACGGTGTTTGAACATTAGGTAAATCCTAGTGTCGTTTATACTCGAGTCGCGAAATTGAAAGTGACTTTCGAGCTCGATAAAGATTTGAAAAAAAAAAGTAATGTCATGTTTGTCTTCTTCGATAATGCGGAAGCATTGTGAGTGCAGGGACATTAAATTCCATGCTACAATGGTATTGGAATAGAAGCAAGCGCCTAATAAACAGCTGTATGATCGATCGGTTATGATCGAACAGTATGATTGTCGATCTCACATTAGTTATCATTTTACGTATACCAGCTGTTTCAAACCGACATTCCCCACACAAACGGCACTCTGTTTACCAGCTGGCTACACGAAAAATTTCATTAGATTATAAATAATCGCCTATTACTTAGGTCTTAAATGCCACTATAGCCGGGGTTACAGAAAAGGCTATTGATCAGCTTTATGGAAATGTCAAACTATCAAGCAAACTATGAGTCGCCTGTCGCCCGCGTGTACGCGTGCTGTAAATAACGACACCTATGAGCTATACGTATTTGCATAATGCTTTCTCTGTTGAGAAAATCGAAGCTAATTCATTAAGGACTGCAGTTATTATCCGGGCCGCCTTTCATTGGAAAAGGTGAACTGATCTCAAATCGCTCGCCGATTGATTTTAAGGTTTCGATTACGTTATAATGTGTTGCCATCTGCAACATACGTTAATTGAGCTATGTATGACTCCCAAAGCAATGATCCAAATGTAATGAAATGAACGCGATACTAAAATAGTGGTAACAATGACAGTTTTGGGACAGTTCGATGGACACTGACATGGACGACAGCGACAAGCACAGCCACAAAGATAATCCAAAGTCAACAGAAAACATAAAGCATCCAACAAACAAAAAGGACGGTATGGCCTATACAAAAAAAACGAAAACAAAACGAAAACCACATCGAAATCACATCAGCAGAGCCAATTAGCAGTTCCGGCAGTTTGATATAGTTATGCATGAAAGACAGAAACAAACCAACATCACGTTTGCCATGAACATAGCATATGCAACTGCATATCCGAACCAATTGAGTGTCAATTGGCGCTTATTAATTGTTTCCCGCCAATTTTGAGTACAATTTATTTAAGCTTAATAAATGTTTTAAGAGTGCGTCATAGTGCCTTAGTATATAGGTTGTATATGGATATCTTCACGTCAAAACGTTCATTTCAAGCAGTGGCAATACCAGACTGTTTGTTTCATATTGTACTGAATTTTCAACGATTCCAATCCTCCGCAATTGTGGCTTTTAAAAATAAAACCCAGCAGTTACTTTTTTCCCCCGATATGTATTATTCAGGTTCTTAGTCGTTGTAAAACTAAGCTATTTTGGCTTTCGGGTACGGCTTTGGTGTTTCACAACCACTCTGGAGCCTTGAGGGACTGGCCACAGAATCCATGAAGGAGCCACATTACTATAAATATCCCGGAGAAGTTGCGGACAGGATTATCCGCAATAGGCTCAATGCATCGGATGTATGTTGAAGTTATCGGAATACTTAGAATGCTGTAACTAATACCCGATACAATAAGCTTGCTGCGGATAAATCTGGCACAACTAATAATGAGATTTCTTTCATACTGGATTGGAAGTTGTTGCCGATGTTTCGCCAAATGGTCATAATCAATGTTGTTGACATTAAAAAAGATATCACAAGACTGGTTCCTACAACCAACAGGTATGTAGACACCGAGTAAGTCCTTGCATGCTTTGCACGTATGCGTGTGTGAATGCGATATTAAAGGGCATAGCCGACAGAAAGTTCATCCGGTTTGTGCATTCATCTTTAGCCTACTGTAATATGACCTAATGTCAACAGTACGGCCATGGATAAATATAAAATACTTATTTTTTTGTATTCGTCTGGAAAGTGGCGTTGCAGTGGCCCTGGTGTTTATTTTCATATTTCGCAATCATCGTAGTTTTCTTAAGTAGACGAAGGTATATGATTTCTAAAGTGAAATTGTTTTTAGTCTTTGGTTAATCTTTTTTATGTAGATTATTACTTTAAAAATCCACTTTACGTCAATGGCAAAAAGTAGGCCCGCAGTAAATTTCACACTGTTCAGCAGCAGTGGCGTAGCGTCCGGTGGGTGGAGGGATATTTTGACCCCACCCCTAATTAACCATGACACCCCACCACTACCTCCAGCCCGATTAAAGGAGAAGATAAAACACTAAAAAGCCAAGAAGTTATAAGGTAATTTTAGCTGCTACTAGAGTTTTAGTATTAAATTGTAACAATGGAAAGAACCTAAAATAGATTTTTCATGTTGTGTATTTTGACCAGCGCCCCCACCTTTACGAATGTCCACTACTGCCCCCCGGTCACTCGGGGGGGGGGGGGGGGATTTGGCAAACCTTTTCCCACCCCACCTTGTCTGATTTTCTCCGCCACGCTACTGCTCTGCACAAAGTCACTATTTTTTTTAGAACATGTGTAAATATAGGCCACACAAGCAAATCATTCACAGGCATTTCGCAAACAATCTTTTCATGGCTTCGGCAGCTGGATTGAGCTGCTTCGAAATTATTTTTGAAAAAAAAATGACATCTCACTTTTAGTGTTATGTTAAATTTGTACGAAGAATATGCGTCACGTAAACAACGCGCACTCGAACATTTCTGATATAGCTGGCACTCAATCGTTTTGTGTACATTCCTCCAAAAAATTGTATTTCTTTAATCATATCATGCAAGATATGTTTGTCTAAAGATTATAAATATATATATTATATATTATTATCATCATAAATTCTTGGATTTTCCTCTGAGGGTTCTTAACTAAGATTAAATCTGTAAAAGAAAGAAAGAAATCAGTATTTTGGTGAATTGTGTTGTTTATTTGCGTTTCTGAAGAGCGTTTTGTCCCACAGTGAAAACAGCAAAAATGTATCTTGGACGGCTGTTGTATGCAAGGGTCTATTCCATCATTGCCCGTGGGAATGCAAAGTAATATGCGATTATTTTGCATTCCGTCGTGCAGTGATGGAATAGACTCTTACATACAACAGCCGTCATACAGTGATGGAATATACCCTTGCATACAACAGCCGTCTGAGATACATTTGTGCTGGTCCCAGAGGGCCAACTGAATGACCCACTGGATGACTGTTACGAGTGAGCCGGGCATGGCAGTGCTATCGGATAGGATTACCCCGTAATGACAATGAATAAGTTCAGACATTGTGTAGACCCTGCATGCAGATGCATGAAGAACCATAGGCCTACATAATTTTGTTCGCTGCGGGTCAAACTTTAAGCTTGGCTTGTCTTCTTCGTAATTGCAATTCACGGACAATGAATGCACATGAGTTCTTGTGTGCCTACAGACCTTTATCATGCTGCCACTATTTCAGTCATGTTCCCTGTATCCAATAACAGTACTAAATGATAATGTTTTTTGTGCCAAAACGAACCAGACTATATTTCCTTCCAGCCTCGTGTTGGTTACGTTGATTTGAATGGGGAAAAATCAAGATGGCCACAACATGCTAATGGTCTATCCCCTCGGAACACCACACACACAAAAACGTACCTCTTTAGGATGGCGCCATGCAAAACGCAAGGGGTTTACGGATACATTCAGACTGATATCCTTTCCCTTTTTTTTTTATATACGGTGGTTTATATTCGTTTTGATATTTCATCTTACATGTATACGGTTGAGACTTCCCTAACCCAGCTTTTTAAGTATTATCTCCCAACATTACAATGGCTCCAGCAGGCCTCAAGGGTGCAGTTATCTGGCCTTAGGCGGACCTCATAACATTTAGCAATTTATTTCCGAAGCAGGGATTTCGGAAAGACAACGTCATGGGATGGGAGGATCGTAGAAAAATGAATGGTTTACCTACACATTTTCTATAGGCTTCTGAGCGGGGTCTATCCGATGTTCCCCAATACCTATATTCCCCAATACCGATGTTCCCCGAAATCCTTAGGGTTAGGGTAAGGATTTCAGGGAACATCGGTATTAGGGAACATATAGGTAGGCCCTATTGGCGAACATAGGTATGCACCCTTTCTGAGCCGCCCAATGGCCGGCAAATGGACTTATTACGTATCATTAGTGAATGATCAACCTTTCCAAATTACGTTTTAAATATTCCTATTCGGAGTTCATGCTATATTTTCAAAGGGCTATTTCCGTTGAGTGGAATATATCACCACGAAGTCCTTTGAGATAAGACGTATACGGCTGATCCTTTATGTAGCCCGATGGAAAATTATAAGGGATATTTCTCCGCACGTTTTTTACGTGCATTTCTGGAAGTTTCTCTCTAATTTCTATGAAAATTTATGAATCGGTTTACATGGTTGGCTTCGAGGTTGTCGTGGCGTATGAAGTTGCACTCACATTTCCCATTATGGAGATCCGTCACGAAGATCGCATGTCACGGTGATTGTGGGACTTGAACCCGGACACGACCCATCACAGAAGAAGAAAAAAAAAAAACCTCATGCAAAATCGAAGAAGAAAACCCAGTGCAACAACCATGGACGTGACATTTACTCTTCGTATGTATAAGGCTGTGGTGCTTATACAATTCATTATCGCCAGGGTTCCGGGAAAGTGTCCTTGAGCGTGATTCGGGACAGGCTGAGCGCGGGCAAACAGACGCGAGACGGCCGGGGGGATAATTGGCCAATCCCGGGCCTGTGTTTTAAAATATCTCCCGTTTTGGCCGCACACGGCCAGGCTTTTATTAAATAATTTGTCATATAATACATCAGACGGGTTCTCGCGGATGATTTACCATGTGATCAACTCGTACCGTACATTTGCCTTAGGGTTGTGATTGGCGTCGAATTGTTTCAGGGGGGAAATCAGGAAAGCAGTATTGTTCGCGGGTAGTTAGCCAAAGCAGGTTATTTCGGTTTCAGACGATGTAGTTACAGATACAATTGAAAATCACAAGACGAAAATGTGTTGCATAGTTTTTTATGAAGCGGCATTGCAATCGAGAACAAATTATTAAAGGCGTTCAGTGGTTTGTTTTGGTTACTGCTGCTATTCAATGTCGTTTTGATGTTTAAGAAAGAAGGGACTAAATTTACTACTCTGTTAATCAAGGTTTCCCGTAAATACCAGTTCCTTCACACGTAAAAATATGATGACGTGATTGCCAATTTCTTGGTTGATTGTTCTGACTGAATTAAAAAGGTATTTCCCGACTTTTTTTTCGTGTTGATCGACGACTGAGTGTTTCAACCCTGCGTTAAAACTGTTTATATTAAAACAAAACACACATTAATGACATCAACATCATAATGTATTGTCATACTGACTGGCATGATGCGATGGTTGAAAAGAAGCACTTGTCGTGCACTTAAGCCTCTGGTAAATTAGTCCTATATTATTTCTTTCTTTGCTTTTTGTCCGCAGCCGGAGGCGATTTTTTTTTCTCCCAAACGACATCCGCATATGGGTGTACGCTATGGCGTTTTGGACTTAACTTTTCTATACACATGAGAAGAAAATATAAAAAATAGAAGAAAAAATGAATTCCAACGTTTTGAAATTCGAACTTAATATAAAAATATAAAAATGGATATTAAGCTGTGTTACAAACCCGCAACCTCGCGGTGCATAATTACGACCCTGTATCAACTGAGTTATCGCACTGCACGCTAAACTGTGGGGAAGAAATAATTATATACCTGCGCACGTATCATAAAAGTATCATAGAGGGCGCTAAATAACCATGTATGCGGATGTCGTTTGGGAAAAGAAAATTCGCCAGCCTGAGAGGTTCGCCTGCATGGGGTTATTTTGTCTACATATACTTTACGGATATCGGTTAAAAGATAGAGGCCACACTGATATTCTCAAGTTGGAAATGTATACTTTGGTCACAGAAAAGATACCTCATTCTCGGTGAAGGAAAATTACAAGTATCAAACCCTAACACGTACCTGACTCCTCCAACTTAATATGCTTTTTTCACACCTTATTAAAATCATCGCAATGAAGAAGAGGTGGCCATGTAGCAGAGTCTCATCCCGGTGAACACCCCAGAGTTGTAACGAGTCACTCATTTGTGTGACTCGAGTCGAGTCGAGTCATTTTGAAGAAGTGACTCGAGTCAAGTCGAGTCATTATAAGGTCAAGAAAGTCGAGTCGAGTCGAGTCACAGTGAGTAGTCGAGTCCAGTCCAGTCGAGTCAAATATCTAGCTCGAGTCAATTCGAGTCATCAATATTTGAACACTATATAAAAAGTAACGACAAGAGAGAACTATATAGAAAAATAATTAAGACAACAAAGTCATTTGTATCACTAACAGTTAACAAGAAGTCTTATGGTTATCTGGCTTGGTATTATGGCTATCTGGTTTGGCTTTGGATCTAGAATTTCGCCCATCGCTGACAAAATCAAACCCAAATTGCATTATACAAAACTGTTTCTGATTTTTTAAAAGTGGGCATGCATCTGTTGAATTCTTAAAAGGAGAGAATAAATTAAGACGGCGTTCGAATCCAAGAGCTTAAAAAGAAATCGCTCCAAATACCAGGATTTGCAGGTCTGCATTAAGCACGAGATGAACTTGATCAAAATTGAAAAAAAATGCAAAGGGTAAGCCTTACTTTTTTATCAAAATTAAGCCAAAAATTGACTTTTCTCCAAACAATGCAGAACTTCTTTTGGAAGACAGCGGAGCACCAATAAATACTAGCACACCAAAAATCATCAATAGTGTGAGAAATAAATTTTTGACTGATTTAACCCCATATTTTCGTCCATATTTTCTTTTGAAAAGCAAATCTTTCTACAAATAGAGTTGGAATGTGTTCGAGGGCCCCTTAGGCATTTTACAGCGAGTTACAAGGAATTTCAATTTTTGGTCAAAATCTACAAAAGATGCAAGGGGTAAGCCTTACATTTTTATCAGAATTTGGCCAAAAATGAATTTTCTCAAAACAATGCAGAACGTCCTTTGGAAGTCAGAGGAGCACCAACTAATACTCAAACACCCAATATTTTTAAGATTTGGGCAAAACAATCAATTGTATGAGAAATAAGTTAACGTTTTAGACTGATTTTACCCCATATTTTCTTTCGAAAAGCAAATCTTTCTACAAAGGAAGTTGGAATGTGTTCTAGGGTCCCTAAGGCATCTTTCTAGCAAGTTTCAAGGAATTTCAGTTTTTGGTCAGAATTTAAAAAAAAATGCAAGGGGTTAGCCTTACATTTTTATCAAAATTTGGCCAAAAATTGACTTTTCTCCGAACAATGCAGAACGTCATTCGAAAGTCAGAGGAGCACCAACGAATACTCAAACGCCCAATATTTTAAAGATTTGGGCAAAAACAATCGATTCCGTGAGAAATAAAATAACATTTTTGACTGATTTTACCCCATATTTTATCCATATTTTCTTTTGAAAAGTATATCTTTCGACAAATGGAGTTGGAATGTGTTCTAGGGTCCCTTAGGCATCTTTCTAGCAAGTTTCAAGGAATTTCATTTTTTGGTGAAAATTGAAAAGAATGCAAGGTGTTAGCCTTACATTTTTATCAAAATTTGGCCAAAACTTGACTTTTCTCCAAACAATGCAGAAGGTCCTTTGGAAGTCAGAGGAGCACCAACGTATACTCAAACACCCAATATTTTGAAGATTTAGGCAAAAACAATCGATTTCGTGAGAAATAAATTTAAATTGTTGACTAATTTTACCCCATATTTTCGTCCATATTTTCTTTTGAAAAGTATATCTTTCTACAAATGGAGTTGGAATGTGTTCTAGGGTCCCTTAGGCATCTGTCTAGCAAGTTACAAGGAATTTCATT